ATATATATTATACATTTATATTTATTTCGCATCTAGAGTATTCTCATCTTATTAGATTTGATGGATTGTTTCTAATCAATTTATAGACTTTATAATAGCAAGTTCATTATATTATTACCTTGCTATTTAAACTATTCGTTCTTAAGTGTGTTTGTCTTGCATCTAAATATTGAGTGTTATTAAATGTTGACTATTATTAATGAAAATGAAAAAATCAATGATGTTGCAATTTTAGACTTGGCGTGTGCGAAAAGGCGAGTCACTAAGAGGGAAGTTTATACAATGATTGATCTTTTTTTTAAGAGATATCTGTTCTCCTCATTTACAAATCCTTCAGCTATAAACAAAATTTAGGAAAACGTCTTTTTTTTTGCAGCCACTGTCATTGTTTTTCAACAACCATATTGAATATAATCTAAAATATACAAAGTATCTATTTTCGTTTCTGGGAAATATTAGGTATTCAGCCTTTCCAGTATTTAGCCGTCTTTCTGATAAAGACTAAATATAGTTTATTATATTATATATTACCATTTACATATTTATGAATTCCCTGATTAATATCCATTTATTGTCATGCTGAGGCCTTTTATTACCAAGCTGCGTGTACATCTAAGTTGTGGTCAATGGTAATCGATATGCTGCTTATAAATAATATTAGTTATTTCATTTTATGTGTGGGAAATTTTGATATTGTGATCATCATCGAGAGGCAATTCCTTAGAAATTGTACATTAATAATAAATGTACAGTGGATACTCGGTTAACGAACCCCTTTTTTGGGGAAAATAAGTTTCGCATAACGATCAACAGAAAAATTTTAAAACTGACCAGTTAAGCATAGCATTTTTATACTCTGAAGCCATTGAAAATGTTAAATCAGGGTATTATAATTTTGTTGAAATTTATGTAACAGGCAGAAAGAGGCGTGGCAGACCCTACAAAGTATATATGTATATTCTTGATCATTGCGACAATCTGAGTCGATTTGGCCCTGTCCGAGCTAGAGACTTCAACTTTCTTTTCCAAATGTCCGTATATATAGCGCGGATATCGAGCTTATCATCAAATATCGATAGCTCGTCTCGTTCTTTTTTATCTTATTACGTTCCAAGAACTGACCAAAAATGAGGTGTCTACGCCCAGTAGGGGCGTGGCAAATCGGKGTTTTCTACACTATTAGAGTGAAACTTAACTACTAAATTGATGGGATGCGAATGAATATTCCGCAGTCGGTAACGCCCGACTGCAACGTTCTTACTTGTTATTGTATACTTATACTTATTATACAATCTACACTGACATCATATATATAAATGCATAAATGAAATGCTTATAAAAAATAATTTGGATAATTTTTAATGTTTCGGTCGATAGACTAACTCAAAACAACTAACTCCGATTGCTGCAGAGCAGGAATATACTATATATACTAATCTACGTTTGTCTGTATTAGTTTGTGTATAAATCAAGTCGAACCCATGACTGATTCAGCACATAGGCGAAGCAAACCAGAATCGAATTGAATTGGAGACACTATTTGGCAGTGAGGAATTACAAGTGAGATATTTGACGTATCTCATCAATGCTGACATTTTTTAGGAAACAGTGAAGGAAGATCAAACATAAAAGATACAGGGTAATAGATACATATATGTCAGGTTGTCGGTCATTAAGGAAACTCAATACTATTCACTCAACTGTCAAAAAAAAAAAAAAAGTTTCATCAAACAAGCTGATTTATTCTTTTACAATATTTACTTTTTTTCACCTATAAAAACGCAGGCTTTTTCGCACTCTTCTTGAGTGAAGAAACGATTTACACTGTTTGAGCATCCAGTATATTCAAAGCTTTTGCACTTGGTCTCTTCCACGTAGTAGGACCAATAAGGATAACCAACGGCCAAGCATATCATACCATTGACACCATTTACTCCTGGCTTGTCAAAACATTTAGCTGCAGACGACGTAAAAGTTAGTGTGAACTCTCAGGATTAGTTAGTCAGACCTACGATCTTGCGATGCGAAGGACAGGCCAAAAAGAGCGAGGAATAGGCAAAGAGCAGATGCGAGCCTCATTTTTGATAGTACTTAGCCCTTTTGTCGAGCAACTGACTAAGATTGCTGCAGAGCAGGACTATATATACTAATATGTGTGTGTCTATATTAGTTTGTGTATAAATCAAGTCGAACCCATGACTGATTTGGCAAATAGGCGAAGCAAAACAGAATCGAATTGAATTGGACACTATTTGGTAGTGAGGAATTGCAGGGTTTAAAACTATTTCACGCTTCATATGGACACAGATACATGCATATATATCTAAGATACTGTTATCTCTCAGAATAAGTTAAGTTAAGTTTCATGAAGAAAGTTCATCCACAAGAAAAGTTATCAGCGAAGTAGACACATAGGAAATTAGTTTAAAATATATATACATATACACATATGAAATTCTATACACAACTTTCGTCATACCAAATGTGTTTTATTAGATAATGTGTGGAACAAAAACTATTTGTTTTTTCTATAATTGTTTTATTGCTCATACTGATTATTTTCGACTTACAATCTACACTGACATCATATATATAAATGCATAAATGAAATGCTTATAAAAGAACTAAATATCACTTAACAGATGCTCAACCTCTTGCTTGACTAGTACACAAATATTTGGCTCATCAATTGACTTAAATGTAGACGTATTGCTTCTCATTCTCGCTCTCACTCTGCCTCTCTTTCCCTCTCTCTCCTTAGCTGCTGCTACTGCTTGTGGGTGGCTCATTATGTGGTCCTTGGAGCAGCGCTTGCAATTTGGCCGCTGCCGGAAAGGCTCCCAAGTCCAAGGGAGCAGCGCCCGTAGTGCTCTGTATGTACGCCAACAGCCTAAGAAATAAGGTGTGAATGAATGTGCTTGTCAAGTTTTGCATAGGGTTTACTTACCTGCGCAGCTCCTCCAGTGCATTCTGCTGCATCAGTATATAGTTCTTGGCCAGCAGCAAGGTCGCAATTTTCGAGAGTTTGCGGACTGACGGTGAGTGAGCATAGGGTATAACACTGCAAAGAGATAAGAAATCAAATATCTGACTTAAATTTGATTTGCAAGCAACGAAACTTATTCGATAAACAATGATTGATTAACAATAATCAACTCTTAGGCTTCACAGATTGATTGAGCTAGCAGATCTTTGCGCAAGCTTCATCTTATCCTGTAACTAGCTACTGCAAGCAACAAAGCACTCAAGCTCTTCGCACATAAACTGATTTATATGTATTATCAAATTTACGCTCACAGCCAAATGCACACCAACTCGCACTCTTCTTTGGTCATACGATCATTTTCACTGCTCGAGCAGCCAGTAAAATAGTAGGACCCAGCAGGACGAGGAGCAGCTTTGCATATCACACCATTGATACCATTTACTCCTGGCTTGTCCCGACATCTGGCTGCAGACGACGTAAAAGTTAGTGTGAACTCTCAGGATTAGCTATTCAGACCTACGATCTCGCCAAGCGAAGGACAGGCTAAAAAGAGCGAGGAATAGACAAAGAGCAGCTGCGCGCCTCACATTTGATAGTATTTAGCCCTTCTATCGAGCAACTAATTCCGATTGCTGCAGAGCAGGAATATGCATATATATTAATCTATGTGTGTCTGTATTAGTTGGTGTATAAATCAAGTCAAGCCCATGACTGATTCGACTGATTCAGCAAATAGGCGAAGCAAAACAGAATCGAATTGAATTGGAGGCACTATTTGACACTGACGTATCTCATCAATGCTAAAACTTTTTAAGAAAATCGTCAATCAAACAGTGACGGAAGATCAAAGATCAATGATACAGGGTCATAGATACATATATGTCAGATTGTCAGTCATTAAAGGAGCTCAACTCTTTTCAAGAAGCTCCGCACGAAAGAAGCAATTGCCACGCCTCTGATTCATAAAACAAGCTGATTTATTCATATTATCAAATTTAGCCTCGCAGCCACTTACACGTCCTCTTACATTGTCTTTTACTGAAGAATACATTTTCACTGTTCGAGCAGCCATTATAAAGAAAGCTTTTGCATTTTCTATATTTCTTGTAGTAGGACCAGGCAGCCCTAGGAGCAGCTTTGCAATGCGAGCCATTGATACCATTTATTCCTGGCTTGTCAAAACATCTGCCTGCAGATGACGCAAAAGTTAGGGTAATCTTTTAGGATTAGTTATTCAGACTTGCGATCTATCCGAGCGTGGGACAGGCTAAGGAGAGCGACGAATAGGCTGAGAGCAGCTGCGAACCTCATTTTTGTCAATTTTGAGTGCTTCTGTCGAAAGACTAACTCAAAACAACTAACACAGATTGCTACAAAGTAGGACTGTATACTGATCTATTTGTGTCTGCATTAGTTTGTGTATAAACCAAGTCGAGTCCATGACTGATTCGACTGATTCCGCAAATAGGCGAATCAAAACAGAATCGAATTGAATTTGAGACACGAGGAATTGCAAGGTTTAAATCTATTCCACGCTTCATATGGACACAGATACAGACATGTATGTCTCTGAGCGTATCTCATGAATGCTCACACTTTTAAGAGAGTCTTCAACCAAACGGTGACGGAAGATCAAAGATCAAAAATACAGGGTCATAGATGACATATATGTCAGATTGTCAGTCATTAAGGGAGCTCAACACTGTTCAATCTTATCAAGAAGCTCCGCACGAAAGAAGCAAATGCCACGCCTCCAATTCATAAAACAAGCTGATATATTCATATTATCAAATTTAGCCTCGCCGCCACTTGCACGCTATCAAGCAACTCATTTTACTGAAGAATACATTATCACTGCACGAGCAGCCAGTATAAAAAATGCTTAGACATGTTCCATTATTCTGATAGTAGGACCAAGCAGGACTTGGAGCAGCAAAGCATACCCTATCATTGTTACCATCTATTCCTGGTTTGTCCAAACATCTGCCTGCAGACAACGTAAAAGTTAGTGTTATCTCTCAGGATAAGTTATTCAGACTTACGATCTCGCCAAGCGAAGGACAGGCCAAGGAGAGCGGGGAATAGGCAAAGAGCAGCTGCGAGCCTCATTTTTGATAGTACTTAGCGCCATCTATCGAGCAACTAACTGAAATTGCTGCAGAGCAGGAATATACATACATATATACTAATCTATGTGTGTCTGTATTAGTTGGTGTATAAATCAAGTCAAACCCATGACTGATTCGACTGATTTAGCACATAGGCGAAGCAAAACAGAATCGAATTGAAATGGAGGCGCTATTTGGCAATGAGCAATTGCAAGGTTTAAAGATATTCCAGCCTTCAATTGGACGTATATACATATGTGCAAATCCCTTTGGCGTATCTCACAATGCTGACACTTTTTAAGAGGATCGTCAATCTAACAATTTTCACTTTCAGTTCTAAAGCTCCTGCGGCTTGTTGAGCTCATTGACTGATTGATCAGCAAACAATGTATATGTTATGCGTGGTTACTCAAGCTCAACTTATTACCCCGAACATCAAGCGACCACACTAATATTCGATTGCTTGAAGACTCAACCTAGGGTGAATATCAATTATAAGTCTCATTTTAATTTGCTTAGAAATTAGTTGTTTTGTTTTGAATAGTTTTTACCTGCGCAGCTCATCTAATGCATCGTTCAAATCGTGCATTCGCCTTCGTTCCCGTGCATTGATATTCAGTCGTACCGTCTTGCCTTGACGATTCTTTTGCTTGCCCCCGTTGGGTCCGCCGCCAACAGGTCCGCCACCCATGCCGCCTCCAATGCTTGACAGGGCTGCCGTCGTGGTGCCACCACTAATCGCCGCAATCGCTGCTGCCGTGGGACTCAGCGGTTTGTCCTGTGCACTTGGTCCGGGCTTGTTCTCATCCGTGGGCGTCAGGCTCTGCTGCGTCATGCCCAGACCCTGGGCATAGAAGCCGCCCAGCCCGACGGAGCCAAGGGGCGTGCGACGTCCGGGCACGCTCTGCGGCGGACTGGCCGTTGGTGCAGGATGTCCATGGGCGCCCAACATATTGGCGGTGGGCGGTATGGGCAGATGCCCATGACCAGGCAGTCCCGGAAAGCCGAATGACAAGTTCGAGGGATCCATTTATAGCGTATACCCTGTAAATAGCACGGAGTGCGAAAAACAACGTTAAGGCTGAACAGGCAGAAGATGTGTAATAATAGGGTTGTCCACTCGATAGGTGTATACTGTGAATAGGGTTGACATTGCTATCGGTGCGACGCCACCTAGCGGGCGATTGAGCAAGCTGGTGTTTGCGTCAAGCTCAGCATAGAGGGCGTCTTGTGTCAGTTCTTTTTAGATTATATGACAATGAATAAATTATATGAATCTAAACTGTTTTCATTTTGAATGATATAATAATTTTTTGTTATTCATTTTAACACAAAATTATTTAAAAAAAAAGAATTATTTTCAAAATATATTCTGTTTAAAATTAAAAAAAAAATATATATGTATATGTTATTTTCCTTACTCAAT